AAGGAAAGGAAAGGAAAGGAAAGGAAAGGAAAGGAAAGGAAAGGAAAAAAAAGGAAAGGAAAGAAAAGAAAAAAAAAGGAAAGGAAAGAAAAGAAAAGAAAAAAGGAGAACACAATAGACACTGAGGAAATCCAAACAATCATTAGGTCTTACTACAAAAGCCTATATGCCACAAAATTTGAAAATCAACATGAAATGGAAAATTTTCTTGATAGATTCCATTTACCAAAAATTAAATCATGATCAGGTAAATAGATTGAATAGTCCTATATCCCCAAGAAAACAGAAGCAGTAATCAAAAGTCTCCCTTCCAAGAAAAGTGCAGGGCCAGATGGTATCAGATCAAGGGGATACAAACCAGAAAAGAAGAAGTTAAAGTATCACTATTTACAGATGATATGATAGTATACATGAATGACCCAAAAATTTAGCCAGAGAAATCCTTCAGCTGATAAATACCAATCGCAAAGTGACTGGATACAAAATTAACTCAAAAAAAAAAAAATCAGGAACCCTCCTGTATACAAAAGACAAAAGGACTGAGAAAGAAATTAGGGAAACAACACCCTTCACACCTTCACAATAGCCACTAATAACATAAAGTAGTTTGGTGTGATCTAACCAAGCAAGTGAAAGATCTGTGTGAAGAAAACTTCAAGTCTCTGAAAAGAAAGTAAAGAAGATATAAGGAGATGGAAAGAACTCCCATGCTTATGGATTTGTAGAATTAACAAAGTGAAAATGGCCATCCTGCCAAAAGCAATCTACAAATTCAATGCAATTCCCCTCAAAATACCAACACAATTCTTTACAGACCTTGAAAGAACAATTCTCAATTTCATATGTAAAAACAAAACAAAACAAATTGCTAAAACAATCCTGTACAGCAACAGATCGTCTGGAGGTATCTCCATCCCTGATCTCAAGCTGTATTACAGAGCAATAGTAATAAAAACTGCATGGTACTGGCATCAAAACAGAATTGTGGATCAATGGAATCAAATAGAAGTCCCAGAAAAAAACCCACACACCAACAGATACTTGATTTTTGACAAAAATGCCAAAAAACAAACTAACAAAAGACATAATACTCAACAAATGGTGCTGGTCTAACTGAATATCTACATGTAGAAGAATGCAAATAGATCCATATTTATCACTTTGAACAAAACTAAAGTCCAAGTGGATCAAAGATCTCAACATAAAACCAGACACACTAAACCGCTTAGAAGAAAAAGATAGAAAGACCTGGAGGGGATAGGAGCTCTACAATTAGAGCACAAAACCAAAATATCTGGACACAGGGGTCTTTTCTGAGACAGATACTCCAACCAAGGACTATGGATGGAGATGACCTAGAACCTCTGCACAGTTCTAGCCCATGACAGCTCGTGTACAGTTGGTTTCCCTAATACTGGGAACAGGGACTGTCTTTGACATGAAGTCAGTGGCTGACCTTTGATCACTGCCCCCTTAATGGGGAGCAGCCTTACCAGGCCACAGAGGAAGGCAATGCAGCCAGTCCTAATGAGACCTGATAGGCTAGTTCAGAGGGAAAGGGAGGACTACCTTTCTTTTCAGTGAACTTGGGGAGGGGAATGGGGGGAGATGAGGAATGGAGGGTAGGATTTGGAGGGGATGAGGGAGGGGGCTAAAGCTGGGATACAAAGTAAACAAACTGTAATAAATAAATAAATAAAGCTGAAAAACAATAAAAAAGAAAAGAAAAAAAAGAGACCACTTGAGGGAAGGTGCAGTGACACACCAAAGGAGTGACAATAAATTCATCATGAATTTTTCTGGTTCAAAGTCACATTCAAAAACATCAAAGCCTATACAGAACATACTAGTTTTACTAAGAGTGGAGGGGAAAAGGTGCTTAAAGAATGCAATATGTTGAAGAGATATGGAGAGAGTGGGTAGCCTTGCCTTGTCCCTGATTTCAGTGGGAATGATTTAAGTTTCTCTCCATTGAGTTTGATGTTGGCTATAGTCTTGCTGTATATCGCCTTTACTATGTTCATGTATGTGCCATGTATCCCTGATCTCTCCAAGACTTTAAACATGAATGGATGTTGGATTTTGTCGAATGCCTTTTCAGCATCTAAGGGGATAATCATGTGGGTTTTCTTCTTCAGTTTGTTTATGTGGTGGATCACATTGATGGATTTCCATATACCGAACCACCCCTGCATACCTGGGATGAAGCCTACTTGGTCGTAGTGGATGATATCTTTGATCTGTTCTTAGATTCGGTTTGCAAGTATTTTGT